CGGGGGGGGGGGCGGGGGTGCTGATACGAGCAGACATCCCCTCTAACACCCCTTTGTTGGATGGCTCCGTTCCATTGGTGGGGAGCTGCACTTGCTGGAAACCGGGTCCAGCGTCCCTTCACAGACTTCTTATTGTAATGAGCCAAGTAGCATGTTATGCAGACTGTTATGGTGAACCAAGTAACATGTTATTATGCATGTTACGCTGACTGTTAGGCCGTAATTGAGATCAAATCGCGACCCTTATACAGAGGCAAGCTTCCTCGTCATATTCATGAGCGGGAGGGGGAGGGCCGTGGCTGTGCACCCTGAGGTACACCCCTCTGCTTCCCTGGTGTTGTTGTATGTTGGCTATTGTGATGCGGTTGGTCCCGCTGACTGGTTGATATCGAGAGCCCACAAACTGTGCCCGACTTATGTCCTCCCTTCCTTTTCTTCCAGTCTCTCTCTCTCCGTTCCTCTCCGTCTTTGCCGTAGCTTGTGTCATATCGGTTGTCTGAAATCGCTCGTCCTAGGTGGCCATCCTTACTCCCGCCTTTTGCTTTTTTTCTCTCTTAAAAAGCCCAGGTTGGTATAGAGGTCGGGTATCGACCCAGGTGGGTACTGTCATTGGAACGCCGGAGGGAGACTTCCCGGTAGGCAACCTACCCAGTATTATTCCTGGCAACAGAATCCGAAGTTCTCCTGGGGAGGTTTGTCCCGAGTTGGTGGTATTCCACTGGCGCCAATCACGGACCGCACCCCCCGCCAGGTGTGGCCTCATGGCTCAGGTGTATCTGCTATCTCATCATGTGCAGCTGACATAGACTTTACTGTGGTCTTCAGTGGAAAAGAGGGGACGGTCATGGTCGCTGTATCAAGTTGCCCCAAAAACATCATTGCTCTAGTCTGGGGAAGACGGTAGCCAGTGACAGTCACATCTGCAATGTGGCCATGAGGGACCACCACTCAGCTCGGAATCAACTCCCGTCACCATGTCACCTGCAGCTGGGGGTGCAGTCTTCTTTCCAGACCTCTGTCCAGAGCGCTTGTGAGCAAGAGTAGCGGAAACTATGCCTCATGACCTGGCTCAGGACCAGAGGTTGGTCCAGGATTTGGTCCAAGATGGGTGCAGGTTCAGGACAAGGACTCGGTCCAGGGTTTGGTCCAAGATGGGCCGAGGCTCAGGAGACCAGGGCTTGGTCCAGATTTGGACCAAGACCCAGGATTGTTCCACGATTTGGTCCAAGATGGGACCCAGGTTCAGGACCATCCACTATCTGGTCCAAGATGGCCCCAGGTTCAGGACCAGGACTTGATCCAGGATTTTGTCCAAGATGGCCCAGGTTCAGGACCAGGACTCACTCAAGGATGTGGACCGAGATGGGCCCAGGCTCAGGAACAGGGCTTGGTCCAAGATTGTCCCTGGGTTCAGAAGCAGGGCTTGGTCCGTTGCGAGGCTTGGTTTCATGCAAAGACTTGGTCCGGTTTCCGCATCTGGTCAAGTACCACGGCTTGGTCTCTTAGCAGGAATCTGAAACTTGGTTCAAGAGGATCTGGTCCAGAATAAGAGGAACCAGTTTATTCAGGATCCGGTCAACGAGCAGCACCGCCTTCAGGATCTGGTCCAGGACCAGGACTTAGTCCACCATCAGGATCTGCTTGAGGACTCGTACTTGGTCCAGAAGCATGTCTTCATTCAGAACCAGGATTTTTTGGTCCAAGGCTCTGACCGGTCAAGGACAAGGCACCCGGTCCAGGATCTGGACATGGTTCAGGACCAGGGATCACTCCATCCATAACCAAGATGTTGCTCGGGTTCTGCGATCGGTCCCGGGCCAGATGGTCTTGGTCTGGGATTGGAAGTAATTGTACCTTAAAGTTTATGGTACAGTCTTGGAGGCAAACTACAAGTGAACATTCTTCCCTCTCGTCCGCACATGTCTGTGCCATGCATCGACGATGTTCTTCTGGTCTTGTATCGAAAGCTTGGCCTCTAAACCAGGCATAGTGTCCCTCTCGCGCACAACAATGGCAGGTTTACCTTCCTCGAACTTCTGTCCGAATGTGTCGCCGTCGGATTTCCATTGTAGTCCCCTCCAATATGGGTTTGTCGGCCGTCCCTCCTCCTCTACAATTGCCGCGTCCGTACTGTACTTGCCGGTCTGACTCATTGCCATTCCCGGGAAATGGAAGGTCGCATTGCCATCCGGAACACCCTTTACGAAGTTGCCCTCCATTCTTCCATAGGTGTTCCTTCTCCACTCGCATGGTCCATCTAGCCGTCCTTTCTTCCATTGCGCCACAAGCTAAGACAGACAAGAAAAGAAAAGACATTTCAACAACATATGAAGACCATGAGATGTCTATACTGCAGAGCAGTCAAGTAAGGAGGGCCTCACCACACCACTGTTGAAACCAGAAAGTATGCATCTTGCCCAGAAAGTCGTCAGATGCATCAGTTGCTATTCATAGTTATGGACCCATCTGGCTCCTGTGGGAACATGCAGTCATACCTTTTTTCGCAAGGCCTTAAGTTCAGAGCAACAACCGAAAACCGAATAAATAGGACAAAAAAGGACAAAATGATTGCCCCTTTAGGTCTGCAGGGCCGAGCATGCATGAGTTACCCAGCCTGTGCGCATGTGGGTGAAGGTAGCATACACCTGCAACTTTTTTGTGTGTTCAAATCCCGGTGGATTCATAATTTTTTTCATATGTATTGGAGTCCTGAGTCAATAAGTGCAGTCGGGAGTCCCTGTTTACAAAAAGAAAAAAAAAAGAAGGGAAAAACAACAGGCCACCATCAGTCCACAGGGTCTCCTTAACATCCTCCTCGTCATTATCATTCTCCAGTGGCCATCTTTTTTTTTTTTTTTTTTTTTTTTTTTAAACAAAGCTCCATCTATTGGTGGGGAACAACACCTCCAGTGGCCATCTTGGACCACATCCTGGACCAAGTCTACCTTCTTCCCCCGAATACAACGTACGGTCATTATAGCTGTATCTAGACTGAAAGAGGCCTCAAATACAGCTATAATGACCGTACGTTGTATTCGGGGGAAGACTGTAGGTCCACCCCCCAGTCCTTTTTTCTTTTTTCACTCCATTGATTTCAACCTCTTTCTCCACTTTCTTTGTTCTTTGTCTCCCTTATATTTCTCTTCCCCTCATGCCCCTTTTTTCTCCTTCCCTTCTTCCTTCTCAAGTTTCCTTCCTCCCCCACCTCCTCCACCTCCTCCTCCTCCTCCTCACCCACCTCCCTCCTCCTCCGCCGGCGCTTTTTCGAGACTCATCCTCCTTTCTCAGCTTTTCTCCATCTCCCCTGAGACGTCTTCTTGTTGTTCTTCTGCTCTTCATCCCCCTCCTTCAGAATCCACTGTCAACAAAAAAAGCAGAAAACAAAAAAATAAGCATAAAAAAATAAAGGTTTTGTTTTTAATAAAGGTAAAAAAAAAAAAAAAAGGAAAACAAGGAGGACAAAAAGAATCTGCTGTCAATGGATATATCTGTAAAAGAAAGAAAAGGAAAACAAGGAGGACAAAAAAAGGAACCTGCCTTCAATGGATATGTCTGTATCCCAATAAGAGGATTTGACATTGATGGCAGAAGTTTTTTTTTTTTTTTTTTTTTTTTTTTTTTTTTTTTTTTTTTTTTTTTTTTTTTACAGGTAAACTCTGCTCATTCTTATTACCACGCAAAAATAGAGGCCGGGAATTCCTCCACAAACAACCCGGAAAGAGAAAAGAAGAAATTTGTTACTGGGACCATTACCCAGCTTAGGTGCAGGCCTTGGGACACTGTGGTCTAGTAGCAGAATGGCCAAATCTAGACCGCTGCCCTGTGATTTTCCTTTGTTTCTTTTGTCCTCTGGTAGATGAGATTTTCATGTGAAACAAAAAAAAAAAAAAAAAAAAAAAAAAAAGATGAGATTTTCATGTGTCCTGTGTCATTTTCCTGTTCTTTCACTCAGGTTCGGGGAGGAGGAAGGGGGAGAAAGGGGAACCGGTGGCAGATGTGAGCAGGGAGGGAAGGTATATTACCTGCCCACCGTCAGCATATGTATATGTTCCTAGTCCATGCTTCTTTCCTTTTAACCATTCACCTTCGTACTTGTCGCTGTTGAGGTATGAGTAAGTCCCCGGTCCACTCAGCTTGTCTTTCAGGAAGTTGCCTGCAACATGATGAAAAAAAAAAAAAAAAAAAAACATGAAGCGATTCAGAGTCTTTCAGCAGACACACATGCACACACACAGATCCATGTTATTGATAACTTCTTTCTTCCTCTTCTTCTAGATGTTCCCCGACTCCTTCGATGCCTGGAGTCTGATTTCATTTTCATTATAAGAAAAAAGAGAAAAAAACAAGGTCCATGTTGTAGTAGAGGGTGGATGCTAGGCCTCACGAGGTGCCTGTCGTCGTACTAAACCAGTGAGAGGATGGTGTGAACCTACAGGTTGTAGACTTCTATGATAGCCTGTAAAAAAGGCATTCAGTCACTGAATGCCTGGAGCAACTGCAACACCATGAAGATGTGGCACTGCCCTGACTTGCTGCATGGAGGGACTCAACTTTGTGACCAAGTTGAGTACCTTTAAAGCACCAGTACACCACATATCGGCCCCTGGGTGTCAGAATGAAACCCGCACCACTTCGGAGGCCGCCGATTTGTTTTTCAACGGCGGGCCTGGCCGCGCGGCGCCTCCGAGTTTCGCTTGTGGCAACAAAAACTTTCTGCAAGGCTGGGGCCGTGTACACACACACACACACACACACACACACACACACACACACACACACACACACACACACACACATACTGATTAATTGATTGATTTGCAATAACCCATGCAGTATGGCTCGTGGAATGCCTAAGGCCCTCGCCAGGCCACACCCAGACCCAGGCCAAAGAGGGGAAAAAGACCCCAGCCAAAGGTTCAGGGCCTGAGCGAGCGACAGTTGACCAAAGTCAACTGCCTGATGCCCAACAGTCAAAGTCAAAGTGTACCCAGCCGAGGCCACCGGTCAGACGCACACACTTGTTTGTATGCAGGTACCCAGACAGCATCAGGACCAAGGGGAAGTCTGCAACTGTATACAATCCAGGCCCTCGGCTGTGAGTCAATCTGTACGACTGTGGGAAGGAGACCCGAGGCCAGACCGCCTCGTCAAACACTACATAAGGCTTGGTCTCTAGGAGGCCAACATTCAGTCTTGCTATGCTGCCTCGACGCTGGCTTGACTCTAGCTGGACGCTGGCTTGACGCTGGCTCGACGTTGGCTGTGCGCTGGCACTGTGGACGACGAAGTGGGACTGTGGCAGCATGCTGGCGCCTTCTCTGCAGAGCGCCAGCCTCTGCTGACATGGCGCAGGCCACCTGTCTTCTTTGATGATGTGGCGCAGGCCACCTGTCTTCATTGCTGATGTGGCGCAGGCCACCTGTCTACAGTGCTGATGTGGTGCAGGCCACCTGTCTACGTTGCTGATGTAGCGCCGGCCACCTGTCTACGTTGCTGATGTGGCACAGGCCATCTGTCTTCATTGCTGATGTGGCGCATGCCACCTGTCTCTACTGCTGACGTGGCATTTGCCACGCTGTCTACATGAGGTGACTGGTTGCGACAAGGAGGGAGATCGGGATCTGTGGATGGTTGGGAATTGGTACTCACCTGAGGTTGACGTCGATACCGTGTCCTGCTGTTGTCTTCATTGTCTCCAAGAGATGATAGTGCCACGTGGCACTCCTATGTGATCAGGACTTATCAGACTTGTTATTGTATATTGATTGATGACGTGGAGGCGAGGGAAGCTCGGAGAAGAAGTGGGAAATGGTTGGGCTACTCTTGTGTGGTCACTGATTATCTCTTCCACCCTCTCCTCTGTCTATTCCCCCTCCACTCTCTTCGTCTATTGGTAACGAGATATTGTATCAGATATCCCTTTCTGAAATCAGTCTTGCAAATTCACACTCAAACATGCATGCAACAGATGAGAATAACTTGGCGCTGTGCACCCAACTCAAACTCGGAGATATGGTAGCTTGCAACTCAACTCAAATCCAAGTTTACTTCAG